ACTTGACAAAGCAAAAACAAAAACATTCATGCGAAAAGGGCTGCAGCAACATCAAGTCAAGCAAGTCTGTGCACCAGCAACATGATTCCCTCTCTGCACATGCCGTTAAATTTCTAACGAAGCTTAGCCATGCAAGGTTGCAAACTTCTGACAAAAATATTTTTCCAATCATCCTGCACGCATGCACCATGTTCCATCCACCTGTACAATCGCCGATATAGACAAAATTTCAGCTCCACGCCACCCGCACAATATTTCAGGTCAGGATTGTGGCTGAGGCTTCTGCTTGCTTGCCAGAGAATCCCGGCAAAGTCCATAAATCGACAAAATCTCTTTGGCGGCTCGGGACGGGCAGTCGTCTTTCGTCTCACTCTTCTCTGAGAAGAAAACAACAACCTCTTCTTTATTGAAGCCATGGATGTCGATGGAACTTCAAGGCACCTGCAGTTGGCCGCAAACTAGATGCTCTCGGCGAAGACTGCAGCGGTCTCTGATCGCGGAGGCAGAATTCCGAGGTTGTCTCTCCGTGCGGACATGAATCGATATTTCTTCTGGTGTATCGGCGGCTTATCGCTCTGACGGAAGCGGATACCAGCTGTCCGTTGGGAAAATCAACTTCCTGGCTGGCAGCCTCAAGCGAAAGGTGTCTTTTGCATTAGCGCTGTTGGAAAGTAGAAGTTACCAATTCAAAGTTTTTTCTCCCACGTTTAAGACCATTCCGGCACAGATCGCTGACATTGCGGGCAAAAAATGACCGCTAGCAGTGTAAATTCGAGCTTGGGGCCAAGCTCACAAATGCACACAAAGTGGCTGAATTCAGCCATAGTTGATGGATCTTCTAAACGAACCAATGAGCCGCAAGTGCAAGTGCACGAGAATCAGCTGCTGGCCACAATGTGTCCAAGTCGCATCGCCTTTCCGTCCCGATAAAGGTTCTTGCAATGTTTTCTTGGGGCACCTTTCAGCTTATGAGCTTCTTATGGTGTTTAAGAACCGTGCTTAATTTTTCAATGATAAACAATGTTTCTTGTCAATAATTGAGCAATTTTGGTGTCTTAATTAAGCAATGCATGTCTTCAAAAAAAAGCAATTATTGCTTAAATAGATTGTTGGCTTAAATTGTTTTTTCTTGTGATGTAGAGAAATTTTTATGTATGTTTTTTGGGCAACATGCATGTAGCCCCATAATGGATGATCTTCAGAAGATTTGGAAATTGTCTGAGATTTTTGGAATTTCGGGCAATAATTTGATCGAACAATTGCAGTGTGTGCATGCATGCAGTGATCATCGTGAGCATGCAGAGCAGTGTGCTGTGCAGAGAACACAAGCAGGTCAACGATCGAACACTGCCTCAGCGAAGGACATTTGCGTGCTTTGCGATTCAAGAATCGACGTCTCGCAAGGTAGCCGCGTTCAGAGACGGCTGTCGAATCAGGTCCAGGCAAGAAAGAGGGGGCGCGTGCCGAGGATCTTGTTCAGTCGGTCGAGTCGAGCAGCGGATGACATGTTGACAGTGTCAGAGAGAACCTATCGAAGTGAAAGTGATCACCAGGGCGCTAAAAGGAGCGTTGCAAGAGTCGCAGTGCGGAGCAAGAAGAAAGAAGGTAACCGAGTCCAAGAAAGCGGATGTCGAAGGCGCAGACCGTGAAGAATGTCTCGTGTGAGAGTGTTTCTCAGTCTTGCATGGACATGTGAAGAACAAGCCGCTGGGTAAGAATTGGAGATCCAACCAGAACGTCAGAGCGTGGGCATCTGGCAGTGGTGCAGCATGGTGTGCCGCACGAGGTGGTGAAGTGCGCTCAGCCTTTTACTGCGTTCCTGGAGGCGAAGAGGTCAGAAAGAAGTTTCAGGCCGTTTCCAGGCTGTCTTTGCCGGTGGCAGCGGGACCATGGAGGCCGAGACAAGGAGCTTGGTGGACAGATCCAGCTGCGAGAGCGAGTCTCAAATGAGCAAGAGTTCATCTGCCGCTTCCACCACCACCGCCGTCGGCGAGCGAAGCAACACCGGGTACCAGCCGGTAACAAGCCAGAACCACCAGCGACCGACAACTTCCTTTCCTTCCAGGTGTCACATGGAACGAGGCTGTGATGGCTATTTTGAGGGACGAGCATCTTCCGAAGATCTTCATCGGAGCTGTGCATGCTGCACAGGGTTCCAAGGGTTCAGTTGCAGAGGATTCCGAGGGTCCAGTTGCACAGGATTCCGAGAGTTCAGTTGCGCAGGGTTCCGAGACTCCAGATGTGGAAGGTGGAGTAGCACCTTGGATTGTTGCCGGAGACCAGGAGTATCTGTCGTCAGGTGATTTTTCTAGGACACCGCGTTGCCGTGCATGTAAGATCAAGGGTTTTGACATGCGCAAAGCCTTCCACACACCCGCCTGTAGGGCCAGATACGCTAAGTACCTCAGGGAAAACTTTGATCCCAGACAGGGAGATAGATGCCGAGTTGGGGTTTGATGCTCCGGTCCCGGACCTGGGGGATTTAGGGTATGAAGGTGACCTAGACAAGTTCGTTGAGTTGCCTGGTGACGTTATGAGGGTTGATGATGATGGTGATGATTCACTGTACGAGCCCTCCATCCCGGATGATGATGACAACAGGGAGTTGCCTGAGCAGCCACCAGGGGAAATCAGCAACGAGGAGCTGCAAGATCTCATGGAAGTTGATGCAGAGCCGATCAACAGGGTCCCAGAGGGGGTTGCCAGCGCCTTTGTGAATCGCTTTGAGCATCAGGAGGCGATAGGAAACATCGCTTCGGCAGCCCAAGTTGCTGGAGATCCCGATGGAAGTGGCGAGATCATTGTTGAGCTCGGGGGTGGGCTTGTGAAGGTCCAAAGGCCCTGTGCTTCCAGGGATGATGTTACCGAGGTAGAGCTTGATTTGGGGTTGACCTATGAGGGCATGGTGAAAGAACTTAAGGCTCTGGAAAGCCTCGCGGTCGGGGACATGATGTGGCATGTCGATCCGAAGCAGCGTGTCATCAGCACTCGATGGGTGGTTGCCGCTAAGACCGAGCGAGTCGAAGGTAAAGAGACCCCACTCGTTCGTTGCCGGATTGTTGCCCGGGACTACTCCACTGGTCCTTCTGCGGCACAGTTAGGGATCAGCTCTCCGACAGCCTCTGCTGAGGCACTGAAGTTGTTTCTCGCTGTGACCGGGGCCAAGGGTTTGAACATCCTAGGGCTCGATGTGTCCACTGCCTTTCTTTTCGCACATCTCGTTGGGGAACAAGTCGTTGTGAGCATGCCAGAGGGTTGTAGGGGTCCATCAGGGGAAAAGCTTTTCTTGAAACTGAACAAAGCCCTCTACGGGCTGCGTTCTGCCGCCCTGCACTGGACACGACACCTGGCCGGTCTGCTCAAGAAGCTCTTTGGGATGACTGCGTGTCCCACGGAACCGTGTTTGTTCGTTGGGTCCTATACAAAGGGAAGCCAATCTACGTGCTCAGCTACGTCGATGATTTGCTGCTGGCAGGGGTGAGCACTGAAGATCTCTACGAAATGGTGGAGTCCTTGCGCAAGGAGCTGAAACTCAAGGTCACGGCTGACCTCGCAAAGGATGGCAAGATCCACTTTCTCGGAAGAGAGATTTTTCGGTCAGAACAGGGCGGGGACCTCAAGTTTGGAATGGATCCCGGATATATGAAAGATGTTCTGGAAGAGTACAGGATGAGCCAGGGTTGAGGGTTCCTCTCACCACCGAGGCCGCGGCTAGGTATCGACGAGCTTTGGGAAAGCTCAGCTGGCTCAGCACCACACGAGGAGACCTCGTCTACTACGTTTCGGTTCTGGCTCGGGGCCAGAGCTCACCTCAGGAGGTGCATGAACGAGCTATGCGAGCTGTGCTTAGATATCTCAAGACCGTAGTGAACTACTTTCAGCTCTTCCCGCGCCAAGAAGAAAAGGAGCTCAAGCTCCACTCCTACGTGGACGCCTCATGGGGCAGCGAGCGCTCCGTCGACCGGAGGTCGATTTCGGGCGGCTGCCTTATGTTGGGAAAGGCCTGTGTCAAGACGTGGGCGAGGCTTCAGCAGTCGGTAGCTCTCTCCTCTGCGGAGAGCGAGCTGTATGCTTTAGTCGAGGGTGCCAAAGAGGCTTTGGGAGCGAGGTGTGCTGTCGAACACATCTTGGGTTGCGACCCAGTTGTGCCCCTTCTTTACTGTGACAGTGAAGCCGCCGTCGCTATCAGTCATGCCGAGGGCCTTCGTAAACTTCGCCACATAGACTTACGATCGTGCTTTCTTCAGCAGGAGGTTCAGTCTCAGTCCCTCCGTGTGGTGTCTGTGCGCGGCACGGACAATCCGGCCGATATATTTACCAAAAACCTCGACCTGTCCTCGACGCTCCGGCATATGCATCACATCGGCTTATGCTCCACCTTGCTTCCAGAGGGGGTAAAGGGGTTGGCTATGTCGATTTTGCGTTTTTGCGTTGCTCAAGAGGGGGTTTCTTCGTTGAGGGAACGGTTTCGGCCTAAGCAGGGACAAAGGTGGCTGTTTGTTGAGTTCTGTGCGCCACTGGAGTCAGGGTTTTCCAGGGTCTGTGCTAGGGAGTTTCCAAAGATCCACGTGTTGACAGTGACTGCCTCGGACGATGGCGCAAAGGGGAAGACTCGAGGAGATCTTCTCGACATCGCGAGGGAAGCAAGGGGTCGCGGCATGGGGGTTTTGTTTTGGAGCTCGACACCGTGCACAGGAGGATGCCCTTACCAGAGGATGCATCTTCAGAGGTATGGAGCTGAGTACCAGAAGCATCTTGATGGCCTGTGGGCTGTGCATCGGAAGCTGTGGGCCGTTGTCAGGGAAACGTGTGATTTTTCCGATCACTGGGCCATCGAGTGGCCAGTGAGATGCGCTTACTGGACATGGAAGCAGACAAAACACTACTTTACACTGCAGAAGTATCCGATCCACGAGACTCTTGTGGATGCGTGCTCTGTGGGGCTTCAAGGGTGTGACGGGCTTCCGGTGTCGAAGCGTTGGAGGGTCATGGTCACGCATGACAGGGTTGCGGCACACCTGGATGCTTTGAGGTGCGACAAGAATCATGAGCACTCTCTGCGCTTTGTGCTCAGGGATACTCAACACTATCCGGATCTGCTATGTAGAAGGGTTTTGGAGGGTTTAGAGTTTAGAGTGACTAAGTTCCTCTGCTCAGCCATTTCGCCTCACAATTTTTCCTGTGGATGGTAATCCCGCCGGAATGGACCACTACGGTCTCCAGGCTTTCAAGGATGCCATGGTTTCTTTCTCCTCGCCAAGCGGGCAGGATAGTGAGCGGTTTCTAGTAGGGTGCGTCTTCCTCGGGGTTGGTCAGTGCCTACACGCTCGTTTCTTGGCAAAGCCAGAAGAGTGGCCAGAACTTTTCCTTACGTCTAGGGGCGTTTGCTATCACGT